GTGAAAACAGGGCTAGAATTGTAGATCAGTGGTAGAGCACTTGCCTAGCATGTGTGAGGCACTGGGTTCGATCTTCAGCACTACGTAAAAACAAATAAACAAAATAAAGGTGTTGTGTACAACTAAAAACATAAAATATTAAAAAACAAGAATGGAGAAAAAGATGGAAGTGTTGTTTCAGAGAGATTGGTGAGGAAAACATCTCACTGGAGCTGAGATTGGCACAGACACCTTCATGAATTCTATCTGGAAAGAATTTTCTAGGCAGCAGAGAGCGTATGGAGCCTTGGAGATAAGAACACACTTGGGAGTGTTTGAAGACTAACAAGGAGGTCAATGTCTCAACCACATGAGCCAGGGAAACATCAGAGAAGTAGCCAGGGGCCAGATCATACAGGGTCCTACATGTTGTAGGTAGGGCTTTCTTGGCCCTTAGATAAGAAATTGGATAGCAAGAGGCATGCCTTAACAGACTGGAGGTGGAACTCCTAGCTCTGGAACTTAGCCTTTAAAAAAAAAAATCTTAACTGATACATAAAAATTTTATCTGTTTAGAGAAGAACACATGATGTTTTGATACTTTGTATATATTATATAATATTCAAATCAGGATAAACATAATCTCTCCTAAAACATTAATCATTTCTTTATCTACATTATCTATATTCACTCTACTGTGTAAAGGACTAAACTTAGAAGTACATGTTAATCAATCTTTCCTCTTCTTTGTTTTCACTTATTTTTAATATTTTTTTTAGTTGTAGATGGACACAATACTTTTGTTTACTTATTTTTATGTAGTGCTGAGGATTGAACCCAGTGCCTCACACATGCTAGGCAAGTGCTCTACCACTGATCTACAATTCTAGCCCTGTTTTCACTTTTTAAAATCAATTTTATTAAGGAATAATTTAGATAAAACAAAATGCATCTATTTTAAGAGAACAATCTGCTGAGCTTTGGAAAATGTATAAATGTCTACCATACCACCATAATCAAGATAAGAAATATTTCCATCCTCCCCCCAAAAGTTGCCTTGTTCTCTTTTGTAGTCAGCCCTTATCTTCCAATCCATACCAGAGCCAGGAACTCAATTGAGATTCTGGGACTCAGCGTTATTTTTTATGTTGGAGACTGAACTCAGGACCTTGCACTTGCTAAACATATGCTCTATCACTGAGCTAAACCTCCAGCCCCATGGGACTCATAATTTAAAAAAAATATATTTTTAATTTATACATGGACACAAGATCTTTGTTTATTCATTTTTATATGGTGCTGAGGATCAAACCTAGCACCTCACAGGTGTGAGGTAAGCCTTCTGCCACTGAGCCACAACCCCAGCCCAGGACTTTGTAAACCCAAGATCTGGGCTATTCAATATGGTAGCTGCTAGCCACCACCAGCTAAATTTAACTAAATAAAATTTAGCTGGTTAATAATCCTTAGTTGTACTCACCACATTTCAGGTAGCTAGAGGGTGCTATATTGGACAATTATAAGCATAAAACATTTCTATCACTATGGAGAGGTTTTTTGATTTTGTTTTCTGGTAGTAGGGATTAAACTCAGAACCTCACACATGCTAGGCAAGCTCTATACTACTGAGCTACATCCCCAGGCTTTTCTTCACTTTTTATCTTGAGATGGGGTCTAGCTGACCTAGCCTTCCCAGTTGCTGGGATTAAGGCATGAGCCAACACATCTGGCTTGAAGATGGTTCTATTGGGAAGTTCTGACACTTTACTCATGGAATTTGACCTTCATTTTACAGAGGTAAGCTAAGTAGGCTGAAAACTGAGTAAGTCATACAAGTCACATTAACTAGGTTTATTACCTTTATCACTAAGTAATTAATAAAGTCCTGTGAGGGAAGAGTTTTGTTCATGCTTGGGCCAGGGTGCTAAAGGGAAAGGACCATCCACAGGGACTGGCATGATAATAGCAATGATATTGTCCAGATGTTCACTACATAGAAATTTTTTCTCCACTACCAAGTTTAAAAAATCTCCTATTTTTATTAGGGGAAATAGTGATTTCCTTTAAAACTGATAAGGCATAATTTTATGTAAAATCAAACCTTAAAATCTTAAGCCTTACTAAATCTATAGTTTTTTTCATATTTTTATTGGTATAATTTCATTATACATAATACAGTTTTTTTAAAAAGGGGAATTCTGAAACAAATATGCTGAAAATTAAGATTTGTTAAATCCAATAGTGAATATATAGGTATTTTAATTTTTTTCTGTGTACTTTTCAATGTTTGAAATTTTACGAGAAAAAGGCCAGCTTTCATTTAAAATGTTGAAAAAAGGTATTTAACGACATCAAGATTGTTCATGATATGACTATACAATATAGGCTAAAGATAATATGCACAGAAGAATCAGTATGGCATAATTGTTAAGTCCACAGGCTCTGGAAACAGATTGTTTTGGTTTTAATCCTAATTATGTCATTTACTAGCAACAAGACACTTAACCTCTCTCAGTTTCTTCATCTGATCATATAGAATTGTCTCAGATTAAGTAAGTGCATGAAAAGAACCTGGTACACAGTAGATGATGAATAGATGTTAACAGCTATTAAGACCTTCATACAATTTTGGTATTGCGCCCCCCACCCCCACCCTTCGCAGACCAGTACTAGGGGTTGAACCCAGAGGCACTTCACCATAAGCCACATTCCCAGCCCTTTTTACTTTTTGAGACAGGACCTCAATTAGTTGCTGAGGCTGGCCTCAAATTTGCAATCCTCCTACCTCACCCCTCCCATGACCCCCCCTCCCAGTCTTTGGGATTATAGGTGTGGGCCACTGCACTGGACCAATTTTGGTTTCTTAAAAGAGCGAGGGCTGGGTGATACACACAGGTAGTAATATAAACCTAGTGGTACCCAGTGGTCGAGTGCCTGCCTCATACCTGTGATGTACTGGGTTCAATCCTCAGCACCACATAAAAATAAATAAATAAAACAAAGGTATTGTGTCCATCTACAACTAAAAAAATTTTTTAAAGAGCACATACTATATATGCATAGAAGAAAAGCTTGAATTATTTGAATGATTCATCAAAAATATTGGGCTGGGGATGTAGCTAAGTGGTAGTGTGCTTGCCTAGCATGCGCAAAGTCCTGAGTTTGATTCCCAGCACTCATTTCCCCTTCCCCCCAAAGTTAAATGATTACAAGTAATTTCAACCTCCTTTTTAAAAGAAACTTTTTCCTAAACATTCTGTATAAGCAAGTCCTTTTTACTTAAAATGACAGAAACACAGTAATGAGATCTTCCCCTACAAAGTGTGGACAACCAAATAAGCACTGATTTTCAAAGTGTGATCCTTGGACCAGCTGCATCAGCATCAGAGAGCTTGCTAGAAATGTAAATTCTCAGCATCTCCGTCTTGGGTAGGGTGGAAGTGGAACCCAGCAACCTGTGGTTTTATAAGCTTTCCATTTGATTCTGAAGCTTGTTAAAGTTTGGGAACTATTGTGTGAAGGCATAACCTGTAGCTTTGCTAGGCAAGGGCTCTATCACTGAACTACACCCCTAAACTTCACCAGTATCTCAGATAAGGAATTATTTTTTTGTTTGTTTATGATATAAAAGTGCATAACAGTGTTAGAACTCCAAACTGTTGTCATGCTCTAAGGCTTTAGTAATTCAGTTCTTTGCACTGTGGGTGAGAAAAGTGAAACTTTACTGCAGGTATAACTTAGCCACAGAAACAAAAACAAAAACCTTCCACGTATAGGGCACATCCAATTTTATAAGCATTCAATTAAAAATTAGCTCCAAGATAAACCTATGTCATTACAAGCAAACTAACTTCAGAATAAAAAACAAACAACTCTTCCAGCCTGAATTAATTATTTGCAAAAAACCTTTTATTGAAAAATGTCCCCTTCAAAGTTGTAATATCACCGATCTTATGTATTATAAGGGTACACTATGAAACAAACATTATTTTGCATGGGGCAGGGAAAATTGGCGAGAAAATAATTAGTACTTGAAGGATTTCTCTTTCAAACACAGACTTTATTTTGAAGAAAATTGTTAACAATTACTAGGGGCAAATCAGTACTAACACCTTTCAGTAACCTTATAGACTCTGGTGCAGAAGGCTTTAAGAAAAAAACGAAATTATATTTACAGTTAAAACATCTTGTATGTGTATTTAAAACGCTACACACATCCAAAGTATTATTTTTACTATAAACTGTAAAGACGTACAGGGTATGAGAAGCCAAATGGCGCCTAGGCGAATTCCACTGGAGAAAAGGAAAAAGGCAGAAAAGGGAGTTCAAGTGCTTCGGTGGCTTAGAACAGCTGTGGGAACCAGAATAGAGAGGAGGGGCAGGAAAAAAAAGGAGGGGGGGGGAAGACCCTGAAAGGCACTCTGCGATTCAATCCACTATCCCCACCTCCACTATGATATCCAGACCGGACTAAACCATTTCATTCAACCTCCAGGCGCTCTATATCCCTGGGCATTTATTTACTGTATTTTTTCACTGAAGGCCTTTCCATCCTCCTCCCCTTCTAGTAGTCCTGAACTTCACACCCCTCATTTTAACACTCAATCCCTTAAACTCTGTTTTTACCAAGCTTCCCTGCATCTTCCCCTCTGCCCAAAGAGGAAGTGAGGCTGGACGCACCGCGGGGAATCCTAGGAAATGTGGTCTTTCTGACTTTCGCCTAGGCCAGTAGAGTAGGGAGGACCACAAAGGAGATCCAGTTAAAACTACAATTCCCGGCAGGCCAAGCGAGACACCATCTTCCTTTTTGCACCCCCTTCCTATTGCCTTCCTCTTCCTTCTCTCCGTGGGCTCTGAACCGCGTGGCATCACCGTATTTGTAGTTCCTTCTGAAAGAAAGATCCTTAACACTCGATGGCCAAGAGCGGCCGGAAGACTCTAATTCCCAGAGGGCAGAGCGGAAGCTGCGCCTGCGCACTCTCAATGAGGGCGTGTATGTCTGTCTGAGGCGGAGAGAGCGAGAGTGAGTGAGTGTTGAGTGCGGGGTGGGGTGGTGGCCGTTACGTTCGGGGCAACGGCTACGGCAGTGAGAAGTAAGAAGAGAAACAACGTCCGGCGCTTCCGCCTTCGCTTAGGAGGAGGAGGAGCTGGTAGGGAAAGGAAACTGATTCGCCCTGGGCCTGGACTAGATCGAGTCGGGCCGGTGGGGTCTAGGTTATGAGCCTTTGAGGGTCGCTTGGGACGCGGAGCGAGACACGAGAGCCAAGAGCTATGTCTCAGCCGCCGCCGCCGCCTCCGCTGCCGCCGCCACCTCCTCCCCCTGAGGCTCCGCAGACTCCGTCGTCTTTGGCGGCGGCGGCAGCAGCTGCTCCGGGGGGGCTCTCGAAGCGGAGAGACCGGAGAATCCTTTCCGGGAGCTGCCCGGATCCGAAGTGCCAGGCGCGTCTGTTCTTCCCGGCCTCCGGTACTGTCAGCATCGAGTGTACCGAGTGCGGACAGCGGCACGAGCAGCAACAGCTGCTGGGGGTGGAGGAGGTGACCGATCCGGACGTAGTGCTGCACAACCTGCTGCGGAACGCTCTGCTCGGGGTGACGGGAGCACCCAAGAAGAACACGGAACTGGTAAAGGTGATGGGCCTTTCCAACTACCACTGTAAATTGTTGTCGCCCATATTAGCTCGCTATGGAATGGACAAACAGACAGGCCGGGCCAAGCTTCTCCGGGATATGAACCAGGGTGAACTGTTCGATTGCGCTTTACTGGGTGACCGCGCTTTCCTTATAGAACCAGAGCACGTTAACACAGTGGGCTATGGCAAGGACCGCTCGGGAAGCCTTCTATATTTGCATGACACTCTTGAGGATATCAAACGAGCCAATAAAAGTCAGGAATGCCTCATTCCAGTGCATGTGGACGGGGATGGACACTGCCTGGTGCATGCTGTGTCTCGAGCTCTAGTAGGCCGGGAGCTCTTCTGGCATGCCCTGAGAGAGAATCTAAAACAGCACTTTCAGCAACACCTGGCCCGATATCAAGCCCTATTTCATGACTTTATCGATGCCGCTGAGTGGGAGGACATTATCAATGAGTGTGATCCTCTGTTTGTGCCACCTGAGGGTGTTCCCTTAGGTTTGAGGAACATCCACATATTTGGCCTTGCTAATGTGTTGCATCGTCCCATAATTCTGTTAGATTCCCTTAGTGGCATGAGAAGCTCTGGTGATTATTCAGCCACCTTTTTGCCTGGGCTCATACCTGCAGAGAAGTGCACTGGAAGAGATGGTCATTTGAACAAACCAATCTGTATTGCATGGAGTAGCTCTGGTAGAAACCATTATATTCCTTTGGTAGGCATAAAAGGGGCTGCTCTGCCCAAACTGCCTATGAATTTGCTTCCTAAAGCATGGGGTGTGCCTCAGGACCTTATTAAAAAGTACATCAAACTCGAGGAAGATGGTGGTTGTGTTATTGGAGGTGACAGAAGTTTGCAAGATAAATACTTACTTAGGCTTGTTGCTGCTATGGAAGAAGTCTTTATGGATAAACATGGTATCCATCCTAGTTTAGTTGCTGATGTCCATCAGTATTTCTATAGAAGGACAGGAGTGATAGGAGTTCAGCCTGAAGAGGTTACAGCAGCTGCTAAAAAGGCAGTAATGGATAATCGCCTTCACAAATGTTTGCTCTGTGGTGCCCTTTCTGAACTTCATGTTCCTCCAGAGTGGTTGGCTCCAGGAGGGAAACTGTATAACTTGGCAAAAAGTACTCATGGACAGCTGAGGCCTGACAAAAATTATAGCTTTCCCTTGAACAATTTGGTTTGCTCATATGATTCAGTGAAAGATGTTCTGGTACCAGACTATGGGTTGAGTAACCTAACGGCTTGTAATTGGTGCCATGGCACATCTGTGCGAAGAGTCAGAGGAGATGGATCTATTGTGTATTTGGATGGAGACAGAACTAATTCTAGGTCCACTGGTGGCAAATGTGGTTGTGGATTCAAACACTTTTGGGATGGTAAAGAGTACGACAATCTGCCAGAAGCTTTCCCTATCACTTTGGAATGGGGAGGAAGAGTGGTCAGAGAAACAGTGTACTGGTTTCAGTATGAAAGTGATCCATCTCTGAATAGTAATGTTTATGACGTTGCAATGAAACTTGTTACCAAGCATTTTCCAGGTGAATTTGGGAGTGAAATCCTCGTTCAGAAAGTTGTCCACACCATATTGCATCAGACTGCCAAAAAGAATCCTGATGATTATACTCCTGTAAATATAGATGGTGCTCATGCCCAAAGAGTCGGAGATGTGCAAGGACAAGAATCAGAATCTCAGCTTCCAACTAAAATTATTCTTACTGGACAGAAAACAAAAACTTTGCACAAGGAAGAATTAAATATGAGTAAAACTGAAAGAACTATTCAACAGAATATTACGGAACAGGCTTCTGCAATGCAGAAACGGAAAACAGAGAAGTTAAAACAAGAACAAAAGGGGCAGCCCAGAACTGTTTCTCCCAGTGCCATTCGTGATGGGCCATCCTCTGCACCTGCCACCCCTACCAAGGCTCCCTATTCACCTACAACTTCCAAGGAGAAGAAGATTCGAATAACAACTAACGACGGAAGACAGTCCATGGTTACACTTAAGTCTTCAACAACCTTTTATGAACTTCAGGAAAGTATAGCCAGAGAATTCAACATTCCTCCATATTTACAGTGTATTCGCTATGGCTTTCCTCCTAAAGAGTTAATGCCACCACAGGCAGGAATGGAAAAGGAGCCAGTTCCTTTACAGCACGGTGACAGAATCACAATAGAGATTCTAAAAAGCAAAGCAGAAGGTGGTCAGTCTGCTGCAGCACACTCTGCCCACACTGTGAAACAAGAAGAGATTGCTGTTACTGGTAAACTGTCATCTAAGGAACTTCAAGAGCAAGCTGACAAGGAGATGTACTCCTTATGTCTTTTAGCAACATTAATGGGTAAGATCAATTTAACTCAAATGATATTTTTAAATTGTGAATGTAATGTTTCTTTGGAGAAAAAAAAAATCTGTGGTTACTGTAAATATTTGATTATCAATTTTCAGAGAAAATTGTTTCGTGATTTTGATTGTAGATGTTTAACATGATTATTGAGTGACTATAAGGAAAATAACTACAAAGTGAAAGTAATTCCTCAACTGTCACCAGATTATTTAAATATATCTTGTTTTTACAGTAGCTTTTCTTTTTAAAAAATGGATTTTTAATGTATCTATTTAAAGCCTTTTCATTTTTTTCCTCTAAGCTCTCTTTGGACTTTCCATCTTGTTCATTTTTCATTTATTTTTAAATTTCATTTTCCTGCCTGTCATGTGACTAGGACTTCCTGCTTGATGAATTGCAGTTTCTGGTGTTTATTCTTGCTGCACTCCTTTCTAAGAGTCTCTCTCCTCTGTTTCCTGTTCTCTTTCCTAATTCACTACAGTTTTCTCATGTGTTCATTTGATATGTGTTTAGGTAATTTTAGTGCTGAGTGAATCTTTACTATCTATTATAATGAACTATTATAGCTCATGCGAAACATAAGAAATAGATAGATGTTAATGGGGCTAAGAAGTATTTCTTTTTAAAAATGCAACATAAAGGAAAATATCATCCAAATATGTAATTTAAAGCTTTAGATGATTTGGGATATTGTTCAGTGGTGCACCTTTCACATTATCTGTATTTGCTTAGTCTTTGTTTTTAAGTCACTGTTAATATGCTTTACTGAGTCTTTTAAAGTATGAAGTAAAATATAAATATTTTAGATGTTAGAACAGTCTTATTTTTGCTAAAATTAGAGCTTTCAACTAGAAGGGGGGTGTGGGTTTTGATTGTGTTTTTTAAGAGTGCTAAATAGCAGTGAGTTGGCCTTGACCTGCTAAAATGAAGATTGTTTTTTCCTGGATTATTAAATTTGGGGACTCATTAGTTAGTGGGAGATCTACAAACTCTGCACAAATTTATAACTTGATATTGTTGATTTTAGTTTGGTAGACATAGTAATTGAATTGGAGTATATATAAGGACTTGTCCTAAGCTGTTTACATATTTCTGTCTCTTTTAATTAAGAGTTTTTAGTTTCTTAGAAGCTGCATGGGAATAGAGGAAAGATGATGTGATCTTTGGAGACAGACCTAGAATTTGAATGTTGGCTCCACTACTTATTAACTTAGTGATTTCAGGCAAACTACTTAATTCCTCAGTACTTAAGTTGCCTCTTTATACAAAATACCCTTTGAAGTTTGTATGTAAGGGCAATAGTGAAATATTCCTAGAACTCTATAAAATTTTAAATAACATCCATTAAAAAATGGATAAAACTACATACATGCAGAAGGCATTTTAAAAGACTGGCATTCTCCCTAGTCAAAAACAGGGAAGAGATGGTCTTCCTCAATACAAGATGAACTCCTGAGAATGTGGCTCATATCTTATCTAACCTTGTATATTCAGTTCCTACTATATTGCCCAGCAGTTTTGATTGAATTCAATAGGTGACATTAACTCATCTAAAGAAAGGCTGTATCTGCAGAAATGGAATGGATGGTCAGCACTGAACATTGAAAAAGAGTCTGAAAAGCAGAATTTGGCAATGTTTATACACTGCTGTACAAAGGAAAAAGATACATCATCTGGGGTTCATGATAATTCTGGTAACTAGCAAGGTAATCTTTGCTGAAGGACAGGAATATTATATCAGTCCTGCCATGGCCTCTGAGAGATCTCAATCTCTTTGCCTGATTCCATATTCATGAAGGATTTATTTTTATTCACTTAGTTTCCTGATAATAAATTGTGATGTACAGGTGAGAGTGCAGATAAAGATTATCTTTAGAAGGCTATGTTCTCCATTGTGGATTAATAAATTGGCATGGGTGGGATTATGATCATTGGTCTTGAATACTGGAGCAGCAGGATAATATATTTCTTCTTTTGTTTGTTTTTAATATTTATTTTTTTAGGTGTAGATGGACACAACACAATGCCTTTATTTTTATGTGGTGCTCAGCATCGAACCCGGGGTTCCACTTGTGCTAGGCAAGTGCTCTACCGCTGAGCCACAGTCCCAGCCCCAGGATAATATATTTCACAATGAAAATTACAAAAATGTAATTCTGCTTTTAGTTACCTTTTTTTTTTTTCTTTTAGTTGTAGATGGGCCTTTATTTTATTTATTTATATATGGTGCTGAAGATCTAATCCAGTGCCTCACACATGCTAGGCAAATGCTCCATCACTGAGCCACAACCCCAACTCCTATTTACCTTTTTTGAATTTGGTGTGAGCTTCCTGGACCTGAAAATCTGAGAACTAGACCATGAACTGATATGAGTTTACCAAGATAATGTCTTTCTGTTCTGATCCCTTCCCTCTTCACCTGTAGTATTTTAAGTTGCTGTCCACAAATCCACAGTTTCTTTATATCTTCTACTTCCATTGTCAACACAAATAATTTGAATGTAAACATGTTTTAATTTTATAGCAGTAGCACTTGAGAGATTTTCTGCTTTAAAGTACTAAGACAGTGCCTCTCCCTCTCTCAATATTATTTTTATCCCTCGAATTTTCTTATAACTATGAATTATATAGAAATATTATTTTAAATATATATATATATTTTTTATTTATATGTGGTGCTAGGGATTGAACCCAGTGCCTCACACATGCTAGCACTCACCCCAGCACTCCTAGAAGATATTCTTAATAAAAAGATATGTTTATAAAAATGTCAATTTGGGGATAATTATATGCACACAACTGTATAGAAAGAGTACAGGGGAACTTTTGGTGTTTTCGAAAATTTAGAAAAGATTAGAAAATTGCAAATTTTGAAATGTAGAAAGTACTTTGTGAATTAATAAATGTGAAATAAGATGCCTCTGTGTTAATGTAGAAAATAGTTTCTCAAGCTTTATACTGTTCAAATTGTGGGCTCCCTGTCATTTAGGGTTAGGATTTAAATAAATATTCCCCTCTAAGATTTTTTTGTTTTATGGTGGTACTAGAGATTGAACTCAGGATCCAGGTGTGCTGTGCCACCAAGCTACACCCCAGTGCCTTTTTTTTTTTTTTTGGCCAGGGTCTCACTAAGCTGCCCAGGCTGACCTTGAACTTTCTATCCTTCCTGCCTCAGTCCCCCAGGTCACTGGGATTACAGGCATTTTGCCACCACCCCTGACTCCTTCTTAGGGTTTGAGAGAGACCTTTGCTGATCATTCAAAGTAGGTTACCTCTATTTCTATACCGTTTTCATTTCCCTTATAGCACCTATCACAAGTTTTAATGATCTTATTTGTTGGTTTAATTATTTATTTACTTCTCTCACAAGATCATAAAGTCCACAAAATATCATAAAGTACATAGTATTTTAGAAAACCTCATTGTCATATGTATATATAGAAATTATATGTCTTCATTAAATAGGCTGACTGTGTAATAGCCAGGAACATATTTATTCCTTCTTTTGCTTTTAAATAGAATGTTCATTGAATAGAATTTGTCTGTTATATATGTCAACAAAACAATGAGTAAGTGCATGGGTCTTTTACTCTATATAAACCATTCATGGAACTAGTCGTTTTGAATTACATGGTGGTATAAAATAAAATAAACGGATTCTACCTATAATATATCACATGTTTTAATCTGTTTTTTTTAGACCACTGAACTTAATTTTTTATAGACCATCATCTTCAAATAGTACTTGCATGATCCCAATTCTAGCTTTGCAAAATATGTTACTAAAATTTCTTGTAGATCAGTGTGTGTGTGTGTGTGTGTGTGTGTGTGTGTGTGTGTTTTCATGGTAAATATGATGGTTGGTACATGATGCACCAAAAATATGAGGCTAGTTTCTTTTTTCTTAGTATTATATTTCATTGTTTCTAGTTTTGTTTTGTTTTCCCAAGAGGTAAAGACAGGTTTAAGGTGAAAAACAGAATATGTCATTTGGAGTTATTTAAATGGAATTAGTTTACTAATAATTTTGATATTGGTTCAATCCCCAGTATCAAAAATAAAAAATACACGATATTTTGTAATTTTATTATTTTGTAATACTTTTTTTCCTTCTTTTTTTGGTAGCACTGAGGACCAAATCCAGGGCCTTGTGCATGCTTACAAGCAAATGCTTCACCACTAACTGTAACCCAAGCCCCATAACACCTCTTGATGTCTATAAGTGCCTTGAGATTTTCCACAATCACATTTGAGATTCAGATGTTTAATTTTTTATGACCTTGAACGTGAATATTATTATTGCATTTTTATGTTTTATTTTCAAATGTGTGAAGGACAGTTTTAAATCTAGGTAGTATTTGTGCATATTATTCTTTATATGCCATCTGATAGCCTTTCTATTGATATATATGTAATGTTGGGGCAGCCTTCATAAAATTGAATAAAACTAATACATATAGATGTATCTTAAGATAAATAATGCACATTATAAATGGAGATTTTATATAATCATGCTTTGAAGATTTAAGTATTTATTCCTTTCTGTGCTCAACTATCTCTTTTTTCCTTCATGCTTTTCAACTACAAGATAATAGTTTTAAAATTTCAATGGGGGGAGGGTAAAATATGGTAGTTCTTAACATTTCTTAACATTTTCACTTCCCAGAGAAAATCATTATTAATGTGTTGGAATATATCCTTTCAGACTGTGTGTGTGTACACATCTATACACAATTGTGCATGTATGTGTGTTAGAAATATATCCTTTAATACTGATTCTAATCCTAAAAGCTGTATGACTGGTTACTCTTAAGGTAATAAGTATGAGATGAGAAAATGGTATGCTTTTCTTAGAAAGTTTTAACTATTGGTAGAGTAAATAAATTTTTAAATGGGAGAATCTATAGGAAGAGGGGAGAGGTGGCAACAATTTTTTTAGCAAATTAATACCTTTAGGATTCTCTCTAGTAGAAACAGTCCTGTAAATTTAGAACTACTTATTCAAATTATTTTAAAAAATTGGAATTATTTATTTCAAATGTGTTGTTTATTTTATGATGGTAGATACTTGATTTTAGAGTTTTAAGTATTTCTTTTGGAGCTTTATATTTCATACAAACATTAGATTTTGAAATTTACTACCTTACTTCATAAATTGCAAAGTAGAAACCTCAATTTGCCTTTTTATTTATTTAATATACTTTTATTTTTAATTGGCACATAGTAATTGTGCATATTTATGGTGCTCAAGGTGACATTTCAATACATGTATACGATGTATAATGATCAAATCACAATTATTGGCCTATCACCTAGGTCATGTTTTATTTTATGTGTTGGGAATCCTCTCTACTAGCTCTTTTGGATTGAACAATTAATTATTGTCAACCATAGCTATCCACTGTGCTGCACAAAGTTAGAATTTATTTCTCCTATTCAACTTCCCAAAGTTAGAATTTATTTCTCCTATTCAACTTCCCTGTCTACCCATTAACCATCCCTTTTCCATTCCTTCCTTCCCCATAATCTTCCCCCAAATTGCCTTTAAATATTTAAAATTTGAAAATTGTATGATGACCTTTTAAACTCACTTTTAACCCCATTTGGTTATTAGAAAAAGTTAGAAAACATATTTTGAATTTTTTTAAACAATTTTTTTTAAAAATAAAATATTTCTTATCAAATGGGAAAAAATTGGATAAATGAAAGGAAAAAACATCATTACCATATTTAACCATTACCATATTTAACCACTATTTAGGTAGAACTCAAAGATGTAGAAGGAAAGACTGGTGGGAGACAAGGTGTGAACAGAAATCATTTATGGTGGTATAGTGGTGGTATAGACTTTTTCTATATTTATTTATATATGTATTTATTTTATATATATGTATATATATGACAGTGGAATGCATTACAATTCGTATTACACATATAGAGCACAATTTTTCATATCTCTGGTTATATACAAAGTATATTCACACCAACTTGTGTCTTCATAAGTGTACTTTGGATAATAATGATCATCACGTTCCACCACCGTTTCTAATCCATACCCCCTCTCTTCCCCTCCTACCCATCTGCCCTATCTAGAGTTCGTCTATTCCTCCTATGCTCCCTTTCTCTATCCCACTATGAATCAGCCTCCTTTTTCTATATTTATATACACATAGAATACATTGGAAAGAAGAATTTTACTGTTGTTCTTTGAAGAAACAGTTAAATTATAAAGTGAAACTAATTGAAAACTATAGTAGAAAAATACTCATTAACATATTTGATAGAGATGTTACCATACCATTCCTATTCTGTAAGAGTTGCTTTCTAGTGAAATGGTAGAAAAAATCATTGTCACTTTGTTTCTGCTATTATTTTGGTTTATTAGATTCTTGAAAACAGATGGTACTATTAATTGTTTTGTAGTATACTTTAAAAAACAGTTATCAGTATGCTGCTTCAGTTAAGTTTTTTCTGGATTGCTTTCAGGCATTGTTTAAAATAAAAAAATTCATTTGTAATATTCTTTCTATACATTCATTCAACCATTACTAAGAATGCTATTGTTTGTTCAGCACTGTGTCAAGTCTTGGGAATGGAAAATCTGATAGGCCACTGACCTTGCCCTGAATCTGAAAATCTTTTTAGTTTAGAAAGAGAAAGAGGAAAAGTAAACTAAATTAGCCTGCAGTATGTTAGGGTCTAAGGTATTGATGTAGATGTGAACCTCAAAGAAGGAGACCTATGTAACTATCTCTCAGAAAAACCTAGAGGGAATGACACCTAAATTGAGTTTTAAAGAATGTGTAACAATTATTGGCCTTTAGGGAATTAGAGCCATGTGGTTTTGTTGCTTTATAAAAATCAAGACTAGGTATGATGTGAAATGGAACAGCAGGTAAGGGTCAACTCTTCCACAGCGCTTTTTATGCCATGAGAAAGGAACCTGAACTTTACCATATGGGTTTGGGAAACCAGTAAAGGTTTAACTCTGAAGGCTGTTTGGTAGATGGATTTGGGGAGCACAAGACTCAAGGGAAAATCACATATGAGGTAGTGGCAGTAATCTAAGTAGAAAACAAGGCCTGATCAGAACAGTAGTAGTAGAAGGGATGAAGAGAAGTGTGAGACTCTGGTGGACTTGCCCTAAGTATCTGATCTTTGATCCCTTTTTTGGTTTCTTTTTTTTTTTTTAATATTTATTTTTTTTTAGTTGTAGTTGGATACAATACATTTATTTATTTATTTATTTATTTATTTATTTATTTATTTATTTATATGTGGTGCTGAGGACTAAACCCAGGGCCTTGTACGTGCTAGGCGAGTGCTCTACCACTGAGCCACAACTGCAGCCCCCTTTTGTCATTTTTATTACCAGTAAACATGACTTCATTGAAGGTATTTGTATACCAAAGGAAATAATTCACCTATTTTTTTAACAAGTTGTTGATGTCATAGATTTCTATAAGACCATCCATGTGCTGCCAAATTTGACCTCTAGTGGAGGTATTTGTATAACCAAAGGAAGTGATTTACTTTTTTTCCCCCCACCTTGAACCAGTTGTTGATACCATAATTTCTATTAAAAAAAGACTGGTCGTGCTGTCAAATTTAACAATATTTGGTCCCTAGTGGAGGTTTAGTATCAATGAAAAAGGCATAAGCTTTGGGAATGATAAACAATTCAAATCCTAACTCTGCCACTTACTAGCTGTATTTTCTTGGGAGAGCTTTTAAAGTAATCTGAATTTGTTTCCATGTCAGTAAAGTACAGCTTAGTTGTGATGAGTAAATGAAGCTATATAAAAAGTGTCTTCTCAGAGACAGGTAGAGAATAGAAGCTTAGGAGGATAAGGGACTTATCCTCCCATAAATTTGAAGGTGGTAAAAATTGGTTCTTAGCAAAGGGAAGGTAAAAGCAAAAAACTTACCCTAATAATTAAAATCAAGCTATGCATACAGTATAAATAAATATACACATTATATCCATGGCATTCAAAGTAAAGTGGGTAAAGTAGTAAAACTGATATTTTTCTTGTTAGTATACAGTGGTCAGTTCTGAATGGGTTATCATTTTGGTACCTGTTCAGTTTCTTACCAAAAAAAATAAGCACAACCATTTTTTAAAATGTTTTCCTAATAAATGATATACTAAAGTATTTTAGAGAATACTGAGTATCTTGATAATAACATTAACAATAATTAAATGAATGGTTATTGCCACAAAAATAATGTATCCAAATGAAATTTAATGATAAGTTCAGCAATCAGAGTTTTTATGAGTAGTTATTCATATTTCTATATATGGGCAGTTATTAATATTCAAAAAATTTAATGAAACATCTGTGTCTTACCCTTAAATATGACTCTTCTAGTAATAGTACTGCATCATTAGTATTAAATAAAGTGTGTATGTGTAATTAAATGTTTTAGTTAACTGAAATTTTAAAAAATTTTAAGTGCCGAGACTTTCTAAATTTGTGTATATTATGCTGAGGATAACTTTAGCCAATTACCATACAAATTCATATTCCTGTTTATGAATGTGGGAAGAGATTAGAACTCAAGAGAGATTATAAGTATATAGTGATTAATTAGGATTATTATTCTCATCTAAAGCTTAAGTCAAATCTTGTAGCAAAGATAATTTAACAATTTATTTCTTAAAATTAACTAACTAAAAATTTTCTGATAATAAAAGTGCTTACATGTACATTAACAGGTTAGAAAATCATGAAAGTATAAAAAAGCAAATAAAGACAACCATATTCCACAAATGAAGTTAACTTTAATGCCCTTTGCATTCTTTGACTCTTCAAAGGTAATTATCATACTCAACTTTTTTTGGTGGCCAGGGATTGAATTCAGAGCCTTGTGCATGCTAAGCCTGTGCTCTATGTTCTACCACTGAGGTACATCCCCAGCTAGTCATTCTCAACTTTTTGTTTGAAACTTATTATTAAAATAGATATCAAAGGATGCTTTTGGAAAAAAATATTTTTGTGAAATAATAGTTGGTTTGTGGATATTTTATGGCCTTTTAAAGATTATTCTGAATATCTTCAACAAATAATTTTTCTCTTAAATTTTTATTTTTATAGTCAACTTTAGAACAACAGAATACAATGTTAATTATTTGTGTGCAGTCTGTTTTTCTCCCTAGCCCCTTCTTTTTATTTTTACTTTTTTTAACATAAATATAAAATATCCAATTTTATATTTTATTTTAAAAAATAGATATCTTTTTATAACCTTTTCTGTTCTAGTCCAGAATTTGAAAACTAGTTTCCGTTGAGCTGGATTGACTTTTCAGATACATTTGTTTAATATGCAAAGTCAACTCATGCAGTTTTAAAGACATTTTAAAATTAGCTCCTACATATTAAAAATTTGGATTTCCTGGATGTGATGATGCAGTTCTGTACTCCCAGATACTTGGGAGGCTGAGGCAGAAGAATTGCAAATTTGAGGTCAGGCTGGACAATTTATGAAGTTCCTGTCTCAAAATGAAAAAAGGGCTAGGGATGTCATTCAGTGATGAAGTGCTTGCCTAACATGCGTGGGTACAGGATTCAATCACCAGTTCTACAGGAGTAAAATTTTTTGGATTTCTGGCCTCTATTGAAAAGCTCCATGGTATTGAAACAGTGGGTCTGTACTCTTCTATGATAGTACTTGGCAGTGGCTGCCACCTTTAAATGGTTCATTCATTTTCTAGGGTGCCACTATATCATTTCTCTATGTGCACCTGGATGTTTCACTCAGGAGTTCTGTCTTGAAATTTCTGTTCTAGTGTGATCTGCATTAAAGCAACCCAGGGTGGACAACAACCTCTTTTTTGTTGTTGTTGTTGTTTAAACTGTTATCTGTTTTTGTCTTACAGGTGAAGATGTATGGTCTTATGCAAAGGGACTTCCTCACATGTTTCAGCAGGGTGGCGTATTCTACAATATTATGAAGAAAACCATGGGTATAGTTAATTCCTCATTTTATTCTTAAAGAATATTTCCACTTGAGCTTTTATTAGATTAAGAAAGTTCAAATAGTATTCTATTGAAAATATTTCTAGCCAGGCATAGTGACACCTGCCTGTGGTCCGAGGTGCTTATTAGTAGGCTGAGGTAGGAGGATCACTTGAACTTAGAAGTTTGAGGCCAGTCTGGGCAACATAGGGACACCCTGTTTAAAAAGGAAAAAGTGTGTGTGTGTGTGTGTGTGTGTGTGTATTTCCAAAATTAAATTTTAAGTATATACAGTTCTTTAGCAGTCTGCCTAGTTAAATTGGATAACTTTCCTGACATAGTTAGCTGGTTTTCTGTTCTGTTACAAAATTACGAAAAATTCCTATCACTACCTTGCTTCCATTTTCTAATTTAAATTATATATATGATTCTTAACAACTAAAAGACAAGTTGTGAAATTAGAATCATATTTTGTTTTAATGCTGGTGACTATCCCAGATCCAGATAATGTAGTATCTTTGTTGTTTTTGTGTTTTAGCCATAATTATATTTCATTGCTTTCTAGGTTTTAGGAAATAGCCCATTTTACATTTAACTTCTTTGACATTGTGTGTTTATTATTTATAAAGATATATGTATTCTTATGTATCTGTCAAACTGTGCCTTCAGAGTTTTAAAGTCTGAAGAAAGAAGTTGCCAGGGCATGTTTTTCAACCTCACACATTTTTTTTAAAGATTGGACGTGAATGCTTTTGTCCCTGGATTTATCATTGGCTTATCTCACTATTTCACCTACCGGTCTGGCCTTGTTAGATAGGAAGGGTAAAATCTGTTTTATTTTCAATTCTTCCTGTACACATTTTTTTCTTTCTTTCTTTCTTTGAAAAAAATCCCTCCAAGTTGGCTGTTATAGAAATGTGCAAACATACACACAAGTAGAAAAAACATCAGTGAAATCCTATTTATGCACCGTTTACCCCATTCTTAACTGAACTGTTTTTAAGGAAATCTTAGACATACTTAAGTATGTATCTCTAAAGATAAATGCTTTTTTTCTTCTAAAAAATAATCATAATACTATTGTCACATCTAAAATATAAACAACCATATATTTTATTTATTCATTATTATTTTTTTAATGTGGTGCTGGGGTTTATACTTGTGGCCTTGTACATGCTAGGCAGGAGCTCTACCACTGAGCTACAACTCCAGCCATCTTAACAATAATTTTTTAGTATCATCAGATAGTCATTTGTTGTTTAAATTTCATTGATATTGATTTTTTTATTGTCTCAAAAAATGGTGTGTTTTTTTGTTCATTTGAATCAAAAACCAAAGAATGCCTTTCTTTCTTTCTTTCTTTCTTTCTTTCTTTCTTTCTTTCTTTCTTTCTTTCTTTCTTTCTTTCTTTCTTTTCTTTCTTTCTTTCTTTCTTTATTTATTTTTTAAAAGATATTATAATTGAGACATAATATATAGAGTAAAATTTATCTTAGGTTGAATACCACTTATCTGAAATTATTTGGCCCAGAAGTATTTTAGATTTGGGATTTTTTTTTTAATTTTTGGAATATTTGCACATTTATAGTGAGATATCTTGGGTGTGGGACCCAAGTCTAAATACAAAGTTCACTTGTGTTTCATATATACCTATACACATAGCCTGAAGGAAATTTTGTGAAATATCTTAAATAATTTTGTGCAGGAGACAGGGTTTCACAATGTGGAATTTTCCATTGGTGGCATTGTGTTGGGGTTCAAAAAAGTTTTGGATCCTGGAACATTCTGGATTTTGGATTATTGGATTTGGATTGCTTAGTCTGTACATGAATTTTGAGAAACATGTATGGTCATGTGACCACCACATTCAAGATACAGAATACTTCCATTACTCCAAAAAGTTGTCTTCTGCTCCGTTTAGTCAGTTCTCCTCCCTTATCTTCATTCCCTGGCAACTACTGATTTGTTTTTTGAGTATGTGTTTGTTTTTTTCACATTACCATATAAGTGGAATCACTTAGTGTAACCTTTTTGTGTTTGGCTTTCTTAATTTAGCACAAGAATTGACAAAACATGGCCAGAGAGCCATATCAGGTCTGCTGCCCACTGTGTATAGTGTTGTTGGAATACAGCCATAATCATGTTTACATGTTGTCTGTAGTTGCAATTTGCACTATAGTGACAGTTGAATAGTTGGGTTTTTTAAAATATTTTTTTTGTTGTAGATGGACACAGTACCTTTCTTTTATTTATTTATCTTTGTATGTGATGCTGAGGATTGGACCTAGGGCAAGCACTCTATCACTGAGTTACAACCCCAGTCCAAAGTTGAATAGTTGTGACAGAGACATTATAATCCACAAAACCTAAAATATTTATCATGTTACCCTTAATAAAAATTTTTGCCTATGTCTGTTTTGTTTTTTAGTTATAAAGGAAAGAGGTTTATTTTGGCTCATGGTTCTGGCCTAAGGTTGAGGATCTGTATATCTGTGGTCTAAAGTCTGATTATGGTCTTCTTGCTGGCAAAGTCCTGAGACCATGTAGGCCATCACATGGCAATCAGACGATGAGGCATGAGACAATGAGCATGTGTGTGCCCTATTTCTCTTTTAACATCCATTTGAGATTTATCTGTCTTTTTAAAATTTTTAATACAATTATTTTGTTTATTTATTTTTATATGGTGCTGAGGATCAAATCCAGGGCCTCGCATGTGCTAGGCGAGCGCACTACTACTGAGCTACAACCCCAGCCCCCCCCGAAATATTTTTTTTAACATTTATTTTTTTAGTTGTTGTTGGATACAATATTTTTAATTAATTTATTTATTTGTATGTAGTGCTGAGGATCGAATCCAAGGCCTTGCCCGTGCTAGGCTAGCACTCTACCGCTGAGCCAAAACCCCAGCCCCTGATTCAAATATCTTTTAGATAGTAAACATAAAATATTTATCTTAAAAATAAAATCAAATTGATTTTTTTACTTTGTTGCAAAGTATGAGTCAGGCTTCATTTTTTTATGTATGAATGTTCAGTTGTTCCAGCACCATTTGTTGGAAACTGAGTTACTTTGGCATCTTTGTCAGAAATAACAGTTGACCCTGAATTGTGCACTTAAAAAGCATGAATTAATATCATATACAAAATATACCCTCAATAATTTAGTTCTAAAAAATTGACCACATTTGTGTGGGTCTAGTTCTAGAATCTTTTTTCTATTTTGTTGATTTATGTCTTTCCTTTCATCAATGCCATATTCTAATTATTGTATCCTTATAATAATTCTTTAAATCAGTCACTGTGAATTAGTCTTTTTCAAAATAGTTTTGGATTTTGTGGGTCCTTTGTTTATCTGTATAAGTTGTAGAATAAGCTTGTCAATTTCTACAAAAAAGTCTGCTGAGATTTTTATTGTGATTACTTTGAATATGTAGATCAAATCAGGGATACTTGATACCTTGACAACATTGAGACTTCCAGTTCGTGAAACTGTTATGTTTCTCTGCTTAAGTCTTAATTTCATCAAAATTTTGTAATTTTTTAGCATAGATCTCAAGTACTTTGTTAGATTTATACCTAAATATTGATGGTTTTTTAGATGCTGTCATAAAAGATGCTTGACTCCTTTGATATAAGGGGAGTAAACAAGGAAAAAAAAAAAAAGGGACATCTTGGTTGCTTCCAAGTTGAGCAGTTATGAATAAAACTGCTATCAACAAAAAAAAAAAAAATATTTTGTATTGTACTTCAAATGGACAGATCTTCAGTAATGTGTAATCTGTTGAGCCTGACTGGTGGCTTCTCATTTCAGATAGCAGGTTTTTTGCTTGCTTGTTGTTTTTAGCTCCAGATGGTTTATTTGTTTCCTTTAATAATTTTCATGTCCTTGTTCATTATGGTCATGTTTTCCCCTTAATTTACTGAGCACATTTATAATGATTGTTTTAGAGTCCTCCTCTGCTAATTTTCATCTTTGTCATTTCTAGATCTGCTTCTATTGACTGATTTCCCTTTTC